CAGGTTGACATACTGGTTGTATAAAACAATGACGACATGGATTCAGGCAGCATGCAAATTCTGAGTAACCATCTTGTATGCAGTCAGACCAGTTACATTCAATGATAAGAAAGATGGGAGCGAGTTGGTGACAAATACTTCATGAATTTCATCCAGTCTTTTGAAACAATATGTTAAAGCCAGATTTGGTAGTTTAGGTGAAAATTTAAATCTCGCAGGTGGCACAATAACGACGTTCATAACAGTGATCAAACAATTCACGCTCAGAATACACATTGAAGTGTTCATAATGTGCAGAAGGTTGCCAAAAGCCAAAAAACATGCCGACCACAAGCCTTCTGTATTAGATTTAATTTTCTGCGATCAGACTGCTGCGATACTTGACGGGGGTTTACAGTAGCAGCCAATCGGTGAACAGCATTAAGCGTGTCACAGGTTTTCAAACTGTAAAAAGACACCAGCTTGGACAGAGACTAATAAACCTCACTTTGACATGGAAATGATCTTATCTGTATGCAAATGTGAGACTACGTGCAATTGAATTTCCTGCTAGTTATGTTGGGGTGCTGCGAGTTGTGAAAGCATGCATCCCCTGAGCCCGAAGGGAGTGGTGCAGTCTCATTATCAAAAACGTCAGTGGCAAGTTCCAAGCATGTAAAATCAGGAAGAGAGATCATTTGGGGAAAAAAAAGGGCATTCCATTTATCGCGTATATATCATATAAAACATTGAACTTTTAAATTACCTGGACTTCTGAGTTAGGATCTACTGGGTGAAGGCTAAACCAGTGCTCCTTCCCACTGTATTTACACAGGTCATCCTTCCGGATTGACACCTTGCCTGTGGAGAGACACACACACACACACACACACACACACACACACATTTAACTACAACTCATCCATTCAGATGAAAAATATACTTGTGTAAATGCCTTATTTAATGCAACTTACCAACAGATAGCTCCCTTTGGAAAACGATCTTGGCATAAACATAGAAGGATAAACACTGAAACGGACGTGGGATCTCAAAGTAGAAGTCCTCTCCGTAGAAAGGGCTGTAAATAAAGGCAGAGGTTTAAATTAGCAAAGGCTGCATCCTCTGGGGAAAAAGATGTGAGTGTGAAAGAGAGCAGTAAGTGGTGTAATGTGTGACCAGATTAGTGGCTATGGCCCGATTGCCTTATTTGTACCGGGACACATACGTGTAGGCTTAATTAATGATTAATGAAGGCTGACGCTTGATTCTTCACTGTAGTGTTATACAATTTAAAAGACTAATTTTTTTTGGTGATTTCAATTCAAATTCAATTCAAATATCTATGTGTCATAAATACTACACTGGAAAATAAAAATAAAATCAACACTTTTTTGTCTTTTATTGAGTCTGAAAATCTTATTCACTTATAACAAAGTGGAAAAAAAATAGTAAGAGTAAAAATCCTAAAGACGCAGTTTTAACTTTAGCTTTAAAAGTTGGCTCTTGACTACTGGTAAATTGAAGATAAAAGTCCTCATAGCCATTCAATGATCAAACTAGCATCACTATAAATTATAATCACTCAAAACTGCCAACACCATTTCTTTCCTTGTTTTTCCAACTTCCAAAAACTGTGCTGAAAAACTAAAATATTCCATTCTTCCTTTAGACCCCCTTACAACCCACTCACGGGCCCCTGTGTCCCCCTAGACCCCAGTTTGAAAACCACTGGTATAGTGTTGTTGCATGTTGCAAACAGTTACAGTCAGTGACTTTGTCTACTTTATATATTTACCATTGCCTAAACTACATCCTTGCCATCTGCCTGATCTAATTATGTACAGCAAAATCATGTGATAAAATTCCTCATGTAATGTACTGCTACATCATCAATTCTATTTGAGCAGAACTATGATACACACAGGATTGTGAATTTTCTGGGAAATGAACTGACTGAGCAGAAGGTGGACAACACAGGGTGCCCTTATGACTCATCAGGGTTGTGGGGAATGTTCTTGCTATGTTGTGTGTCACTTTTGCCATCCATTTGCTCCAAAACCTTTTTCAATATGCAGTCAAAACAGTGTACAAGCCCTGTAACACTTATCTGTGATGTCCATTTTGTGTTATGTTCCTGAACCAAATTTAATGTGAAAATACAAAAGAAGACAAAAAAAATATATAAAAATATCTGGAGAGTAAAGTGCTGATAAAGTGCCATTTTTACAACAGGCAAATCTACTGAGAAAATCCTTTATTCTAATGGCAACCTTAACATTTACATTATAAACCAGTAAAGACACATAGAATAATAAACATCCATCCATCTGCTATACCTACTAACACTGTGCAGTGTCATATATGGACTCTCAGTGGAATCATGTGGTGATACATCATCTTTTTACAAATGAATGATTTTAAGGACAATAATTCATTGTTGAGACTTTTGTTTTACATATGTAAAGGGTGTGAGTTTCATCTGATGTAATTCATAGTAGAACATTGCATTAAACATCAATTTGATTATTGTAGAAGTCATTTTTCAAACATTAGCCAAATCAGGATACACATCAAAATAAGAAAACATATATTTTTAAATATTTAGTTTTATTTAATATAGAACATTTTGTTCAGCAATATCATCCAGGCCTAGCTAGATGCCAGGTACACCCTGGACAGGTGTAGACAAAAAACATGGGCAAATTTAAAAGTTTGATCCACCAAACCAGTATATCTTTCAACTTGTATTTCGGATCTGAACACCAGGAAGAAACCCATGTAGACACTGGGGAAGAACATGAAATCTCCAATCATTAAGGATCATGTGGTACAATGCTGTATAATGTAGGCTAGCAGCTAAGTGGTTAGATCTCTTCTGTTCATCAGAGGACTGACTGCCCTGTAGGAGCTGGCACAAACACAGAGGGCCCAAGCATCCTGCCAGCACAACTACCTCATGACCAAGACCGCAAGCTAGACAGCTTGATCTGACATAGCTGATTGTAGGTTAAGCACTACCTCAATGTACGTGCTGCCTGCACATGGACCACCTGTCCCAAACAGACTCAACAGTACTTAGACAGCTGTGCTGGATTACCTGTTAATATGTTTAAGTAAAAACTGCAACCTGTCTTTTGAATTCTTCTTACAAGTAATCTAAAGTTTACAAAAGGTTGGAGGTCTGAAAAAAAGAATGTAGCATCAAATTAATGAAGTGGCAGCTTGCATTTAAACAATCTGGAAGACACTTGCTTGGTGTATAAAATAACCTGACCTGTGTTTGCATGTCAAACATTACTGGAGTTTATGGGTCATGTGACGTAATGAATTTTTCTCTCCGTTTTTAAAAATTTAATCAGGACCTGGAAATTAGCCATGTAAACATATCTGCATAAATATTCACTACGAGCATTGAAAGAACCTGGTCCTAAAGCTCTTCAATCCTTACACGGATGCCTTCCTCTACAATTTATGCATCTTGGATGGTGAAATATCTTGCCTGAAACTTCCGCACTGGGTTTGGCCAACACATCCAGTGTACACCCACACATCCTCCTCAACATCACATGGAATTATGCACTTGTAACCTCCTTATTCTGTGCACACTCAAACACACACCCACTACATTACCTTCCCTTCTGTTGTCATCCTAGCTTCTATATAATGTGAGAATGCAAGGTAGAGCCACTTGACCACAACTGTGTGAACATGCCTGCTTTAATTAAGGGATTAGCTGCAATTAGAGCTTCCATACAGCCTTTAAACCATTAGAAACAGGAACCCATACAACAGGCATGAGTCAAGCACCATTAAATAAAAAAAACAAAAAAAATAAAAAATACACAGTGGGCCACATTTGAGTGATTACTAAGATGTGCTAAACAGAGGCTAAGGTAGTTGAGAGTGACACAGAGAGAAAGACAGGGGAGAGCGTGGGAGGACACACTTCCTCAGAGACTGCAAAATCTTTTTGAACAGCACCGAAATCAGGAGAGAGAGAAAAAAAAAAAAGGGCTGTTGTGAAATACCTAGAGAAGGCAGGCCCGTGTTTACAGTGAGATGTGCAATGATGTAGACAGAAACCTGAAAGGTTTCCTGGTGTGCCCATCTCCCACACTTTTCTCTTTATTGCTTGTGAACATGTGGCTATTGGTAAAATAGCAAATTTCATTCTGAATCACTTAATGTTTCCCAGCTAAAATGGTCCCCTGCACACATACAGCTATGAGTCACACGTTGACAGGTCGTAAGTTGTTATCAGATGACTGAATTTTAAACCGGACATTTCCCACATGATCAGCTTTCAACCAACATGGTCCAGAGTTTAGTATAACTGTTTCCACATGAGAGATTTCCTCAACAGATTATTTAATTTGTGTTTCTGCTTTGTTTTGACTTTGATTCTAAAAAAACAAACTGTGAATTATACAAAGAATAACAGCAGCACAGTAATGTCTCTAAACGCTCTAGGCCATATCATTCTGTAGATTTAAGTTGAGTAAGCTGTGTCTTACACTATTCTCAAAAGCACTCATAATAAAAAATGATTAAAGTGGGGATAATCAAGCCACGTAAGCATAACTTCATAACATTTTTCCTGTTCTTAATGTTGTTTCTGAAAATTATATATATTATCTTTATATTAATTTAAGCAACCATGGTAGTTGAACAGCTATTGCATTAGCAGATACAAGTTACATTAACAGGACAGTCGCAGTGACTCTTTTCTAGCCCTCCCTAACTTATTTACATCATTCTAGATAAACAGAATAAAACAAATAATTATTGCAATCAACTGATCTATCAGTTATTCAGTAAACTGAGCAAAGTAATGTGTCAAGAAAATGATGAATGACCTCTAAGTTCCAAAAGATGAGCCGTCAGAAACTCAGCATTCAATACATTATACACTATATTTAGAGAATGGGAGCAAATCCTCGTATTTGTAAAGCTGTGAGGGTTTAACTTTTTTTTCTTGATTGACCAGATTCTAAGCTACACATCCAATAACTTAAAAAAGGTTCACTACTAGTTCAAAAATTAACTCTGAGGAGGAAATGACACAAATAAGACACTGAACCCGAAACCTTCAGCTGCTCATAAACAGATATGTTTGGATTTCTTGTATAGCCAACACTACTCGCTACAGATGATGTGTGCAATGTGTGCATATGATAAAAAAAAAAACCAAGACGCTGAAATGTGTTTACACAACTGCAATCATTTCTTCTCAGCTTAATGGTTTCTTCCTTTGAGCCGCTTTAAGTATCACACTTTCCGGGAAACTAACCATTGAATACTTTGATACGACTCATAACATTCAGTGACACAACTGGTGATATGGACCTGTTTCTCTGCATTACAGCAAGTGCATCAACACTATATTACTGCCGGTAGTTTCACACTTTCTATGACCTCTACTATTTTATATAAGCCTTTTGAACTGCTCTTAATTTGTGACAATACATAGTTTCCCAAATACTACTATCCCACCAATTCTATGAGAGAAATGATAAGTACAATAATAATTAAACACTGTGAATTAGAAGACAGCTAGCCCGTTCTCAACATCAGAGCAAAGAGCAAAGAATATGCTTGATATGGTACAGTCAAATAAAAACATAGACCTTTCCTGAGACTGCCGAGTCAACTTGCTGTTTGAAGACATGTACACCACCTTGAAAAATGACTTTTGTACATCTTTAAATCATTAAGTAGTCCAGTTGCATTTTGTGTAACTTGGTATGAAATGTAAGGAAAATGTAAGCCAGAGTTTACTGTGACGTTAACATAATGAACACCTTACAGTACACTAACAGTTATAAACTGCAACCAGATGAGAAAATAAGGGAATAAGGAACGTAATCAACAATAAAATCTACAATATCCATTAACCGGCTTACCTGACGCTTTTGTCAAACACCTTGGTGCGGAACACCTCCTCCTGATCCAGACTTATGGTGCAAAAGGTGCAGAGATCCCTTTGCCGATTTGGACCTGAGACTGGTCCTAGGTTCTTAGCTTCACCTGCGGCACAGAGAGAAGAACATGATAACTATCTCGTCTGGCGTCAAACAACAATGGTCATTCTCAAGTTAAAGGAAAAATTAAGTAATTATTATTAATTAATTACAAAAACTATCTACTTCTAATCTACAGTTATAAATATCAATCTCACTGAGAAGTAGCAGTCCTAAAGCCTGACAACTACAATAAAAATAATAAATACATTATATAAAATGCATTATATAGTATGCATTTCAATGAGTAAGTTCCTACTTTTAATCTCAATCAAGGGGGGAAAAAGTGTCCTTAGATAAAAGAAGTTAATTTCGCCAAAAGCAATCTTAAATCAATCTAAGCATATGTTCGTGCAAACATACACAGTTCACTTTTAAATCTTGCTTTTACAAATCAACATCCTCATGTTCAAACGGGGGCTCTGGCAGCGAAGGGTGAGCTGCAGAGCGGATGTAGCTGAAGCAGACTTGAGGCTCCTATGTGGTTAAAAACATGAAACATTGACTTCCTCAGCATAACCAATGCTGACGGTACAGCGCTGATTCACAAATAACAAAACACCTTTGTAACACAGACGCTTGCATTACATGGCAGGCAGACGCAGATTACATGGCGTGGGGTTTTGTGTAACACATACATAGCCAATTACCAAATCAAAGCCAGATAAGTTAAAACCTGTATATTCAGGACAGCAAAACAGACGTTACTCAAACACAGCACTATCAATAACTTCACAATGAGTCAGTTTTACACCGGTGGATTAGAAGGGCAAAGACAGAAGTCTAAATTGGTCCTCTAGCTTTGGATAGGTAACCTAAGCTTAGGTGAACACCTAATTAAGAAAAGCCACCAACGGGATCAGCTTTTTAACAGGCTATTAATAATGGTGTATGGCTAATCTTAGGAACAGCCAGTGAAAACAGCAAAGTTGCCACTAAGCTTGAACAAGGATGACCTGGTGGGAGTAGAGCACACAAGCACATATGCACACAGACACAAATACATACAGTATACTTTGGCCGACTGACCCCACTGCCATCTCTTCAGTAACATTTCCACTAAAACCGGAGCATGACTGCTTGTGAAAAGCATAACCTGAAGGTCAGAGAGTAAACAGTACCTGTCTTACAGCTGAAGACTGCTTTGTCATTTTAACAGCTGACCTATTCGCTGGTTTTATTCGGACAACGAGGCAGGAAGGGGAGATATCAAAGCACACTGGCCATGTGAAAACTGCTATAAGAACACATCTTGACAGAACGTCACCTCCATTGATGTAGGCTAAAGGAAAAAGGACAAAGTGTGAACGAGGAAGAATGGAGTTTCGTAAGACTGCAAAGTGAGTTACATGCCATTACAGTTCCTCTATTTTGTTCTGCTTACCGTTTTCTCATTAATTCATAGTAGTGAAACTGTTGTCTTCCTATTGTGTGCCTATGCATACAAGCATTACATACCAGTTAGCCTATACTCCCCTTTCACTAAACACATAGTTAAGCAACATTTACAGCCGGTCATGACATGGTCTACCACCTACTTTTGAAACCATAAAATGTCTCAAAAGCATATGTTAAAACTAATGTTGGGTCAAACATACAAACAAATCTATTTCATCATTGAAAGAAAAACTCATCTCGTGCCATCCTTTTTAAAGATTGACCGCAGTGAATTTTACTTTCCCCACTGAGATGAAGCAAAGCCACCGGGGCAAATTTAATCCTAACCATAATCAATTACCTTAAACGCCAACCCAGAGAGCAGTGAATGCAGACTAATGGACGTGTGTTAAAACTGAGAATAACCAAATCTCCTGCTGCATATGTGACACCTTGTTATCCATTAGTAAAAAGGGCATAACGAGAACTGCTAGTGCAGTCTGAATCTCAGAGACAGCACGAGGCAGCCAGACACATCTTGAATTTGAGTAATTTGGCTAAAACTACATTTACTCCACAGAGGGTAGGTACTCCACTGGACCAGCCCAGCCTGAGAATGAGGATGAGGAAACTGGCTTGTCAGGTATTTGACTTTAAAGCCAGTGTTTCTGATTTGGACTCTTACTAAATGTATGATTATTGTAATATTATAAATCACTCCACTGGAGCAATCTGCTTGCAAAATAGTCATCTTGCCTGCATTACCAAATAATCCAAGTCATTCCCATTGATCGACTTTAATGAACAATGTAATGTACATGCAGTTGATGGGACATGATCATTGCATGTACATGTACAAAAGACCTGCTGAGAGAAACTGTGTTCAGACCTATCAATCAACATACCACTGTTGTGCAATGATTGGCACTAGTACTTCCTATATATTTATATACAAATTTAAATATATAAAAAGGTAATAAGTGTGCTGGTGTCGTAAAGATAGAGACTGTAGGTTAGCTATGTGTCTGACTTGAGAAGCTAACATTAAACTCATGAGGGTGAGTGACCATTACTTTGCTGCTTTGAGACGCCATTTGATATGCGTTGCGTTTGAGCATTTTAAGCACTGTCGCTGAAAAGGATGTCATGATAATCCTAACATGAGCTACATCACCTGTCTGTCCTGCAGTCAGTAACATTATACCTGAACGGGGGGTTATTTGTCGATGGGCTGGAGACTGGTTGGTAGTAGCTAGCCTCCCCCCCCCCCTTACTTTACCACCAACATTAACTCAGCTTACAGGGCAGCTCAAAACGCCCGCATTTCGATAAAGACTTAATTTACAACACACACATTAAACACACAATCTCCTGGAGCAGCTCGACCGGCGGCTCGCTGCATAAAAGCCCCCACAACAAGCTGGTAGCCGCTGTTAGCATGCTGTGCTATGTTGACGTGAGGCAGCAGCAGCCCGACCAGATGAACTGGCTGCCTGCACACTGCTGAGAGCACGCCGCGCCCCTCCGGCTTCCCCTCGCTTCTTTCTACCGACCTCTCTCTCTCTCTCTCTCTCTCACACACACTCACTCTCTCACCTCTCTCTCTCTCTC